TATCGGTGATCAAATAATTGTAATAATTTTTAACTTTTTGTTTGTGACTGTATTTTATCACTTGACATTGTTTTGTATGACTTTTCTCAAAAATATTTACCTAGTTTGACTGTGTTTAACGATTATTTTAGTTTTTGTGTATGGAAAGTAGGTAACTATTAACCGAAACATGTTGTCCCATTTAACAAAAATTATTTTTTGAAATAAATAATTTGAAAAGATTGTGAGGTTTGAGTCCCCATCCCCTCGCTAGAGGTTTCGCATTCGAGTTATTTAACTTTAAAAATTAAAAAAAAAAAATATATATAATATAATATGAATAATATACAGGGTGGGCCAATGGAAACTTTCCACCCCAATTTTTCTCGTTTAAAATTAAAATTTGGAAAAACGCTCGGACACGTCGATTTAGTTTTCGACGGGGAAAAGAAAATATCATAAAATTACTTTCACACCTATAACCCCAAGGCGGGGGCGGCGCGGCGCCATCCCCAAATTCTTAAATGGAATGGGGACCGAGTGATACATCATGTGAAATGTCTTTCAATTCCCTTTTTAATGATATAGATATCATGTACTTTCGTTCAGTAGTTTTAGAGATTTATTGATTTAAAGTAGATTTTAATTTAGCAGCTAAGTGGCGAAAAAATCGGTTTTTATTTTTTTTTTCTCTCTCTGTATGTATTTTTTTGGCAAACTATGTATACTAAAAATTAAGCTTTAAAATAAAAAAACTTAATTTTTTTTATTTTTTAAAATTCCTAAAAATTTTCCCGGCCAAAATTGAGCATTTTTCACTTATTCCGAATTGAAAGATTTTTGGGTGTGGATCGATGCAGATTGATTAGTTAAAATTTTTAGTATACATAGTACCGTAAAATGGGGTGAATAGAAACAGTTTCGTAGACTATTAGCGATATACCGGTTGATAAAAATGTGGTATTATTTTCCCGAATATTTTAAAACATGGGTCTTTGTTTGTTCTTTGCATATACATATAATTTGATTTTTGAAAAATATGTATATAAATATTAAATAAAAATAACATTTGTGTTTCTATTCACCTGCTATTGGGGAGAATAGAAACACACATTGGTGTTTAGGTTTTTATCTATTCTACTTCCAACAAGGTGATTAGAAACAGTAAATTATTACATATTTAAGTAGGTTTAACAATAAATAACAATACATATAATATGACAACTTACATGTACCAGCTTATGTATTACTTTAAAAATAAATATTTTATTTATAAAGTTTTCGCGCCATACAAAATAGGTGATCAATCGATCTCACATTTATTGATCAGCTGATTGACAGAAACAGTGCTGCCACAGATAAAAATATAGTTTTTACATTTTATTGTGTATTACCAATGATAGAAAAATTAGATATGTCGACACTTTTTACTCTGAATATTTTTAATCGTGATTTGATTTTTTTCAGAAATTTTGTTTCTATTCACCACTATGTTTCTATTCACCCCATTTTACGGTATATATTTAGTATACATAGTATATCAAAAATCGACAACTATGAAACTATGATCCCTTCCCCGATACAAACGGTACATTGTGAGACAGGAAATTGCAGAGAGAAACAAGCCCTATAACATAGGATACAACATTTTAATGAAAAGTGCTTTCCATAAAATCAATAAAATGAAAAATATACGAAATACTATACATGTACTGATTTCTTTCGAAAATCGACAACTATGAAACTATGATCCCTTTCCCGATACAAACGGTACATTGTGAGACAGGAAATTGCAGAGAGAAACAAGCCCTATAACATAGGATACAACATTTTAATGAAAAGTGCTTTCCATAAAATCAATAAAATGAAAAATAAACGAAATACTATACATGTACTGATTTCTTTCAAAAATCGACAACTATGAAACTATGATCCCTTCCCCGATACAAACGGTACATTGTGAGACAGGAAATTGTAGAGAAAAACAAGCCCTATAACATAGGATACAACATTTTAATAAAAAGTACTTTCCATAAAATTAATAAAATGAAAAATATACGAAATACTATACATGTACTGATTTCTTTCGAAAATCGACAACTATGAAACTATGATTCCTTCCCCGATACAAACGGTACATTGTGAGACATGAAATTGCAGAGAGAAACAAGCCCTATAACATAGGATACAACCTTAGATGATACAACATTTTAATGAAAAGTGCTTTCCATAAATTGTGGTTATTTGAAAAACGATAAAGAGAAAACAAGTGTTTCTTTTATCGAGATCTATCAGCCCTGAAAATATTTGTACTTATTTAAGACTCTCCCTGTATATTAATTATATTTATTCTAAATTGGAAGCGAATTGTAAACTACATTAGGAATGTGTGTTCATATCCACGATAACTCACTGTCAATCTATTTAGCTGGTCATGTATATGAAATGTGCTATGTGATGCGAAAGCTTGTTATGTATGATCTTTGAGAATTTTTAGTCTTGACGTATAAATTTGTTTATATAAAAACCCTAAGCTGTCCCCCTCCCAATCTCAGATATCCCTCCACTAGCAGCTCTTCTCAGCAACTTTTAGTTTCGTTTATTTTGTATCTCTTTATAAAATACAGTTACAGTATATGTCTGTTGTTTTAATGCCTGCAATTACACGATTGTAATGGGTAGAATTAATATTTTCACAAACTGGTATCTGTACTAAAAAAAATTATTTCTGCATAACTCAAATTATACTCAATAAAATTGTAAAAATGACAAATTGATATGATATTTTTCTAATATTGTTATGTATGTTACATATGTAAAAAAGTGTAATAAATACGACAAATGTAACAATCTGGAAATATGGTACATTTACTCATATTTGATGAGCACCCACGAGGTTTCATAAAAGTCGGCGCCCCTGCTTAAGAGACATAATAAATTGCGATGAGTTTTTTCCAACTATTAAGCTATCTTGTACACTTTGCACTAAAAGAAGTTCTAAAAAACATGGTTCGACTGCAAGGTCTGCTAGTAAAAATGTTTAAGCTTAAACTATCACAACACAATTCATTTAAACCAAAAACTTGTAATACAAAACTGAAGTGTCAAAACGAATGACAATGTCAGAAAATAAATAGATAAATGTGGCAACTTCACATTTTTTATAGCAGAGCTACTACTTAAATCCCCGGTGGAAAATTTAAATTCCAGTTAGTCAGCCCGGCGTATCTCGATTTTTGCTACTTTTCAGGAGAGCAATTTAAAGAAAATCACTTACTTTATTTGGTCAATAAATGTAGTCTTTAATTTTTTAATTTTGTTTTTGTATTAACACTTAAACGGAGACATTGAGCAAACGTTCTGAAGATAAATTGAGCGTAAATTCTAATAAATAATTTATGTTTAGTTGTTTAATAGAGATAGGCCTTTTTGTTATAATAATAATAAATTTATTTCCGAACAAATAGTATACATACGCCCATGTAAAATAAATTTAAAAATGACGGTGAAGTATTCTTAGTAAGAAAAAAAATGATGACAATATTCACATTATATACACAATACTTACAAGAAAATACAATACATACATACAAGAAAAAATTGAAAATCGCCAAAAAATCAGAAACAAATATTTTTAAATACTTTTATTCGCGTTGGATTAGATCAACTGAAAACAAAGACAATTTTCATGCCAGAAGCAAAGACAATAATCAATTAAAATACTCTTATCTAGCTTATTTTAATAATATTGTTTTTTATACAAAAATGCATTTTTTTAACTAATATATTTTTAGTAATTTTTTAGTTAATTGAGGGCATTAATACAGGGCATTTAAACTCACGGTCCATATAATAAAAACCAAACTAAACAAAAACAAAACATGTTTCTTCATTCGTTTTTTTTTTGATACAAATAACTTTGGAGTAACAGTTTCTGTTTTCCTTGTTCAATGATAACAAATTCGACTTCCATTCTACGTGTTTATGCTGAATGGTGATAGGCAAAATAAATAAAATTTTCCAAAAATTGGTAGGGATGACAATGCCAATGGCCTGACAATGATAATGAGATGAAAATTATTGTATTTTTCGGGTAAGTTTTTGGTTCGCTAAACTGTTCTTAGAGAAATTATGATTTTGGAAATTAATTTCGCAATTTTCGTTTCGTTGTTTTGCTTTCGATCAATATTTTCCTTTTATTCGGCCGTTTATTCTCGGACAATCTTTTGCATACCCGATACAGCTATGTGTAGAGTCTAGCTCATTCTAACAATGGTTTTTGGCAAAAAATAGACTCTAAAATCACACTGTAAAAGAGAGCTGCTGCCATCATATAAAGTTTTATTTTGTACCAAGCAACCGTCAGAAAATAATTAGGTGTGATTTTCTCTCGCATGCATTTTCATAACTTAAAACAAAAGGACCTATCTCAAATTCCATCTTTCTTGTAGTATAACAATAATTGATATAACAAAGAGCCCTATCTCAACATACGTCTCTTCGTCAGAACGAAGAATTGTAGTATTTGAGATGGGGCAAATTTTTAAACTAATATAAAATGAAAAAGGTACAATATTGAGATGCGCAAATTCGCTATGTTAAAATATGACCCATTGGGCATGTCATGAAGTTGATATCTCAAAATCGAGATACACCTTTTCGTCATAAAGCCGACGATATGTCTATTGTAGGCTAAAATGAATTTAAAAATCGCGCCCCCGATTACGTATCTAAAAGTTTAATTGGTATCGAATATATGCATAGTTTTATAATAATTTCCATTAAATATGAAATATAAAATTTCGACTTTAGGTGAAATTGAAAACGAAAAAATTTCCGATACAAATACGACACCATCTCTTTAAATATCTCTTTAAACGGATTATAACATTCGCCACATAACTATTATGTATATTATTAAGTAAGAAGAGAAATATTAGAAAGTGAACGGCCGCCAGTGATGTTCGACCGTACGGCCATGTAGAGCAGATTTTAAATTATCATCCAATTACAATCGGCGCGAAAACATTAATAGACAAATAACGTTATTTTTCCCTCAACTTCGAACATTTTTTTTCTTTCGATGACAGTAGTTACGTTGAAGACGGCGTATGTGAATTAAGTAACCAGTTTCATGGCAAAGTGAAATCACGAATACGTCGCGGTGGTTAAGATAAGCACATGCACGCTAGGGATACGCCAAGTATGCTAGCGATTTTTTTTGTCGGTCCTCGCGTATGTTGTTAACAAATAAAATTTAAATTAAAATGATTGAATGGATTTGTGTAATTTCCGTACTGAGTTTAGTGCCAATTGCTAAGAGTCAAATAGATCTAGGTAAGACCAATAACAATTTTCAATTTAATAATACTTAAATAATGTTCTAAATAATTTACAAAAACGTATTGAGCAAATCATGTTTGTCATTTAAATGTTTAAAAATGTGTTTGCACAGTGCAATTTAAAAGATATAAAGCCAGATGGTGTTTAAACGTTATAAACTTATGCATGTCTATGTCACTAAATAAATAAGTTATTACAATTACATAAAGTATTAAATTATAGCCTAAAGACATAGTCGTAAAATAATTTTATGTGTTGTGTATCTCTAATTGTGATGCTATGTTTTATCGGTGGTTTTATGTAAGTCGATTTTTACTAAGATCAAGTTTGCAACGCATTTGGTGCTTTCTCAAAACTGTAGCTAATCAGCATTTACCCAGTTATTGAATCAGTTTATTTTACATTTTTTTAATATATTTTTTCCTTAGCATACCGAGTGTTTTTTTCAATAGTGGCTCCCCTCTATAACTTTCTTATTTTTTCATATAAAAAATGGGAATTTGGTGTGTTAGTATAGAACATAACTGGGGATTGATTGAAGTATTCAATTATTTTCGGTCACTTCCTGTTTCAGTCCGAAAATAACTACAACTTTTGATTTTTAAATGTAACAACAGCCATTGCAAAAAACTCATCGCAACCTTATTAAAATATTTGGAAGAGAAAAGCGGTAGTAATGGCTCTTTATGTTCTTTAAGTTATGTTCTGTTAAGGAGGTGGATTATGTTGATGTAAATAATAACTGTTTATATATTTAGAGCTAACTCGTTTTTGTTTAAAGGAAAATTTTATTTTGTTTTAATTACAGGAAAATATGTAAAAGTCGGCATGGCTGTGCCGGTCAAGCTTAATCACGTGACTAAAGGTTTATTTGGTATGATCTCTGGGCATATACGTATTACTTTTTACAAATATACTCAGGGTTCCCTATTTAACCCCGTGTGCAATTTCTGTGCCGTAAGAAAAAGACAACATAACCCAGCTCCATATTAAAACTGCATAAGTCTATTTCACCCGGATATGGATTGAACTGCGATTGCGCCAAACTCCGATTGATTGTTGTTTTAGTTCTGTTTGGATTACTTTTTATTTGTGCGCGTAAAAGAGTGATTTTGTTTAGTTTATTGTTTCCAACTATTTTTTGATATTTTTCCAACTCCATGATAATGTGTTACAAATAATAAAAATATAAATAAAATTGAAGGTTAGGGGAAATGTCAGTCAACCACTTCCCTTTAAAAACATCGACCAATGAAAACTTCTTCAGGTGAGGCATGCTCAGTTAAATGAATATCCTGGTGAAATAGACTTATGCAGAATTCCATATTGTTCTTTCACTGTTTGGGCTTCACTTTTTGGAGATTAGGCTGAGTATATTTGTAAAAAGTAATACGTATATGTCTATAGGTACATCATTTACTGTTTGTCTCGAAAATATACCATGCGTACAAAAATAACGACGTCAGAATTGGATTGGAAATGAGGATTGCTGCCATTCTGCATATAAATTTGTATGGTTAATGTCGTCGATCTTCATAACCAAGCCAACTTTTACTACGACCTATGTACCATATAACATTAATCAATACAATACATAGAATTATAAAGTTATAAGAGATTGTTACTACATATTTAAATTTTAAAAATAAAATATGTTAATATATAAAAACATTTTTTTATATATATAAAAACATTTATAAGACAGTTAAAAATGATCCCAAACGCAATATTCTTAGTGCTTAAAATTTTTGAAACGGTAACTCTTATACGTCCCTGTATCATTTTGCACTAATTCTAATTAATATTTTTATGCCAAAATATATTTAAGTAATTACATGTAACATTTTATTTTTGCATGATAGTTTAAAAGTTAATTTTCATTAGATTTAAATGGTAAAATTGTTTTGTTTTTATTTTTGTAAAATAATTTTTAATTCTTTTAATCGGTTTACGTTTGCATCAATTTGTATTTTTTTACAAACATATTTTTTAGAAATGACATATCAAATATATTTATAATTGTATAAATAGGCATTATTCGATATATAATTTAACTTGGACGTAGAACAACATAGAAAATATATTTTTTCAATTTATCTAATTTTTAATAATAAAATATTTTGCAAATTTTCCATTTTGAAGGAATGATTTGCAAAATAATATACCTATATAGAATGATATGAGTATATTCACATACATTTGAATTATAACCTAAACTAAATTGATTTTTTTACGAAAAGCTAGAAATTATAGAAAACAAATTTTCTCTCAAATAAAAGAAAACAAAAAATAGGCATTCTGGAAACAACAGCTAGACGGGATTATATTGTTTAATGAGATACTTTTACTAATCTAAACTATAAATATAAAAATTCGATTTCCGAAATTTCAAATGACGTAAGAGAATGACTTTACCTTTTTTACAAATAGTCATTACGAATAATTATTATCCAATAATTGTCAAATTCCCAATGATACACTAGTTTACCATGTGACAACAAAACTTTAAGTTTTGACCTAAAGTTAAGCAAAGTTTAACCTAAGTTTAAGCAAAAGCTTAAACTTAGGGTTGTCCCCCGAATTGTATTGCAAACTTAGCTGCATATTCTGCAGATAAAAATAACTTGAAAAGTTTATTATAAATGAATATCCTAAAATGCTTCGTTATGAGATACAGGGTGTAGAAATTTTTTATTTATTTCGGTTTTTCCAAATAATTTCTCAATTTACGTCTATATTTAGATAAATATTGGTATCTGCGTATTTTTTGACTTGAGGAATTCGATTTCGATGTTAATATGACTCTTATTTGTATGGACCGCCACTTCATTATTTTTTAACTGTTTTGAAGAGTAATAACATTTATCCGTACTTTTATTACGCTACTGATGAAAAAATATATATTTTCGCCATTTTTTACGTAAAAACGGTAAAAATCGCTACGAGCAACAGTTCTCAAGATATTTGGAATCTAAATAATCAAAACAAGTCATCATTGTCAAAAATATTAGACATGTTGACTAGATAGTTATTAGAATAAAATAATAAATTTGGAAATGATTTTGTTACCAACGTTTGACAGAAATTGTTTTATTATAGATTTTCTAAATTTAAGTTTACGTTTCCGAATTTATTATTTCAGTCAAGTAACTATAGATAGTGAGCTAGATTTATTTTTTGTCAATGATGACATGTATTGAATATTTTGATCCCAAATATCTTGAGAAAGGTTGCTCGTCGCGATTTTGACCAAGAGACCTTTTTGCGGAAAATGTATTTTTTTCCCAGTAGTGTAATACAAGTACGGACGAGAAATTATTACTTTTCAAAATAGTTATAAATATCTAGGTGTCAAAAACACACAAACACTAATTAATTTCTATCTAATATCGATGGTAGTTCAGAAATTATTTGAGAAAAAAAAAACTTGTTCACCACTTCATCACTGTACCTCTGAAACGAAGCATTTTAAAAGATGAATTCATACTAACTTTTTTACTTATTTTTATCTGCAGAATTAGTTTTCGAAGTTTCCCGAAAATTGAGAAAGAAATGTTACTCCGGAATTATACAGGGTGTTTTTCAAAAGTGGTTCACCCCTATAACTTTTTTATTTTTTTAGAGAAAAAAAACGAGATTTGATATATCATGTTAGTACATGACATAAATTAGGCTTGATTGACGTATTCAATTGATTTTGGTCACTCCCTGTTTCACCGGAAATAACTACAAGTTTTAATTTTTAAATAACACCCTCGGTATTTTTTTACTTTATTCGATACAAAAAGACACTCTGAATAGAATGACATATCATATGCCAACTTTTGACATTTTCGCATATGGTTTGGTTGTAACGTGCGGTTCGTTACGACAATTTGACTCGAAATATCAATTGTGTGGTATCAAATTATTAGTAAAAAAATGTTTTTTTTAAATATGCTGACTAGCCACCCTTATTCCATTTGAAAAAAATCGAGATATGATTAAAAATACGATTCGGGAATCTTTTAACCGGCCAGGACAGGACACAAAAAACAGTAAACGATCAAAACTATTTTTCCAAGGCTCCTTGACTAAAAATTAGTGTTTAAACACAGCCATGGCACTCTAGAATGAAATTTAAAATACGATTTTTTTAAGCGAAAATGTAAAAAGATGACGTGATAAGTCATTCTATTCAGAGTGTCATTTCCTATTGAATAAAGCAAAATATATCAAGGGTGTCATTTAAAAATCAAAATTTGTATTCATTTCAGGTAAAACAGGAAGTGACCAACAACAGTTGAATACGCCACTCAATCCTAATTTACCTATGTCATATAATTACATACCAAATCTCGTTTTTTTATCTGAAAAAATAAAAAAGTTACTTTTGAGACGCACCCGGTATATTTGATACATATTATATTAAAAACTAATCCAATATATGACTAAAAGGAATTTTGGCATCAAATAAACGTTTCAAAGTTTTTTCAAACGTTTCAAAGTTTCAAACGTTTCAAATCTTCAGAAAAAAAACAAGCATTCTGGAGTAATGCATGGAAATCATTTCCTCATCGACTGCATGGAAATTAAGAGATACAACAATGCATTTTGATGCATATAAGATACTTGTATCAAATTTCAGATATCGATATACCTTCCGGTGACACAGGAAGTGATCGAAAACAATTGAATACGTCAATCGATCCTAATTTATATCGTATACTAACATACCAAATCTCGTTTTTTTAACTGAAGAAATAAAAAAGTTATAAGAGTGAGCCACTTTTGAGACGCACCCGGTATAAGATATCTATACAGGGTGCTACAAATTCGAGGTACGAGCATTGGTATCTCGGAAACCGTAATAGATACGAAGATGGTTAAATTGGGGCAAAGTTGCTCCTTGGCATGTTCACCAAGATGCCATCAAAAAAGTTTTAAAAATTTCAAGGATTGCTGAGTTTTATGGAAAAAACGGATTTTTTTGAAAATCAATTTTATTTTTTCCTGTCGTTACTTTTTAGAAAATCAAAAAACTAATTGCACGTTCTCATAACCACTTTATTAGGGCTATCTGACAGTATTTTTAGATTTTCAAATTAGCTTATAATTTGTGAGATACAGAGGCCAACGTAATTTTTTTAAATACGGACCTGCATTTTTTATTTGAAGTTTTGAAAGACTTCGGTCTCCTGAGTACAATGATATGCCACACTTGATACTTTTTTTTTGTTTTGGATACCTTAACACTAAAAAACTATTTAATTGTTATTTAAAATAATTTCAACTCCGACTCTGGTTTTTTAATTTATTTAATCTGATTATATTCAGCACAACAATATTGATCAGCGCTAACTAACATTGAATAAGGAAAATCACGTCTTGAAAGATTCAAATAATTAATATCCAGATCAGCAATTTAAAGATATCTATTATTTTTAACTTTTTTTATTGTGAATTTGAAATCCCAGTGTACGATCTAATAATATGCGTAATATTAATGGTAGTTATTATAAATAAATCAACTTCTACAAACTAGTTTCTAATGCTCTGCATGTTCGAAAGGGTTACCACCATATTACTCCATAATGCACAAATTTATTTTTCGTTCAATCTTTTTTATAGCCCTTTGAACAGATCTTCTTATACTTCCGTATGCATTTTGTACTCTTTGATTGTTTTTGATTACTCGTTAATTGTTTTTGTACTCTTAATGTTGAAATGTGTTGATTTCAAATGTCCAAAATAATTTTTATTGATTTTCTTTATTCAATGTTAATTAGGGTTGATCAATATTGTTGTGCTGATTATAATCGGATTAAATAAATTAAAATAATAGAGTCGGATTTGAAATTACTTTAAATAACAATTAATAATTATTTTTATTGTTTTACCCAAAACTGAAACAAAACAAAAAAAAGTACTCAGGAGACTGAGATCTTTCAAAATCTGAAATAAAAAATGCAGGTCCGTATTTAAAAAAAATAATTTGGCCTCTGTATCTCACAAATTATAAGCTAAATTAAAAATCTAAAAATACCATCATAGCCCTAATAAAGTGGCTATGAGAATGTATAATTAGTTTTTTGATTTTCTAAAAAATAACGACAGGAAAAAATAAAATTGATTTTCAATAAAATCCGTTTTTTCCAAAAAACTCAGCAATCCTTGAAATTTTCAAAACTTTTTTGATGGCATCTTGGTGAACATTCTAAAGCGCAACTTTGCCCTAATTTAACCATGTTTGTATCACGGTTACCGAGATACCAATGCTCGTACCTCGAATTTGTAGCACCCTGTATAATAACATTAGATTTATTATAAAAAAAAAAACAAATTTTTTTATCTGCCTACGTATTACACAGGGTGTTTGTTCTTGACATCCTAATATTTAAGAGGCCCGATTTTTGGACTTATTCTTAGAAAAAACTTCACATAAATGTATGTCTTCAACATCTTAACTTTCGAGATATAGGGTGGTAAGATTTTCTAAAAATATTCTTTTCATAACAAATCTAATGTTATTATGGATATCTTCATGAAATTTGTTACACGTCTTATATTCATCAAAATGCATTGTTGTATCTCATAATTCCCTTCCATTATGGGGGAAAGATTTCCACACAACAGTCATATATACTATTAAGTTAATGAAGTTAAAATTAATACCTGACCCTGATATGTTTTTATTTATCATAATAAATAAAAACTATTACTTTAAAAATATAACCATTCTGCATGGAAATATTTATAAATTAAATTATTTTAATTAGAAGAATTGCGTATTACTGCAACAAAAATTTCTTTTTTATTTATTAGTTTAACGTTTATATAAGGTGTCGATTAAATTTATTTTCACTATTTATTATTTATAGAGGAACATTTCCAAAATTGCAAAACCAGCTCTTCGTCATTTGATAATTGTGTGAAAGACGGAATTAATGACTTGAGGCCTTTCTTTCAGTCTGGTAAGTTTTAGCCACATTTTTGTAACTTTATTTTAAATAATTGTTTAACACACTGTAAGAAAATATTACTAAATACTATATACAATTTTTGTGTTCCTTATTTTTAAGGATTGCCCGATTATCATGTTGGTTCTTTTGATCCATTTTTTGCTTCACAAGTGCACCAAAAGAGAAGTGGACCATTTTTTAATTACAAGTTGATATTAAGAAACGTAACAGAATCTGGATGGACCCAATCACAAATTACCAAGTTTTCGTAAGTATTTACCGCTATTAACATACCTACATATTGGGTAACGTCACTCAAGTTCTCCTTCCAATCGACAAATTGCATTAACATCCAACACCAAATATTTTGGCATATGCATTTGTAAAAATATTATTTAAAAAAATGTCTATTTTGTGAGTCTTTTTGTATCTGAGCACTGGTCGATCCGAATAATGTTTTTTTTTTCTGGATGAATGAGCAAATAAAACCCGCTTATATTTCCTTCAAAAAATTGCGGCTCTCTTATAGCAAAAGGTTGCCGACCCCTCCCTTAAATGATTAATCTAGTATATGTACCTATGTACCGTATGATAAAAAAAAGCTTCCAGTTAGCTTGGAAATGAGGACCGTTGACATTCCCCATCGCTATCGCCTTTTTTATTATACAGTATTTGCTTTAAAAATTAGCAATAATCTATTACAAAAGGAACTGCCCGTCGCGAGTGTTTAACTTAAATTATGCTATTAATAAATTAGTTATTAATTAGTACTATAATTATTTTAATTAATTAATTATAGACCAATTAATAAATGTGTTAATCAGGCTAACACTTTTATCCTAGAAAAAAGAGCTAAAAACGTGAGGTATATTGTCACAAATCGCTAGCGGAAAAATATAATCAATGATAAAGTTGATATGAATGATACAGTTCTATATACAATATACACGCCGAAGATTTTAGTATAAAATGTTTTTCTGAATAATTGAGATATGGAGACAACTTATTGACAACAGTCTAAAACCAAACAATACCGAGAACACTGTAAATAAGAAGGTCCTCTACCTCAAAACCAAACCAGACACGCCCTGGTTAGAGCGCCTGAGATAGAAGTTTGGTCTATAGTTTGGTCATTATTTAAAAGTCTGAGAAATCTGTTTAAACAAACGAATTTGTCCTATACTCGTATAAGCATTGGAGACATTGTAAGCATGAGTAAAAAGTTCATATTTACAGGTTTATTTTTTTCAAGTTTATTTTATAATCGCAGTAACGGTATTTCTATTTCATATGTTCTAAATCCTTAATTATTTTGTATGCCATGATTTTGAAAGACTGTTTGTAATAATATAACTAAATTTTGATTGCAGAACGAATCCAGACAAGTACCATGTGCAGGTCACACAAGATTTCCCGGATAAGCGTCTTAATGGTATCTACGAAATGGATGGTACTTTCTTCGGACAGAAAATAAAAAACTCTGGTTCGTGGAACTTGGCCCTGTTTGACTACAGCCAAACTTTGACAGTTTCCAGGAAGCCCATTCGTGGCCTAGGTGCAAGATACTCGAGAAATGCTCCAATTAAGGTTACGTGTAATATTCACAGCTGCAAAAGATTGCAGTTGCACATAAGCAATTTGCTTGGTGGTAGACCTTTAGTTGGTAAGATTTTTATTTTTAATTTAAACTACCCTTTACATAACTAAGAAATAAATAAAAAACGCCATGGAAGAGCGCCATATCCACCTGCTGTCCAACCATACATAGGGTGAATATGCCAGCGGTCTGACAGTTTAGAGAAACCTGAGTTTAAATTGTTGATTAACTTTTCTTTAGTGGTGGCTTGGAAATGAAATTTTATGAATAGATAGTGTAGTTATTTGGCTTCACGTTAAACATAACAGTTTTTTTGTCATAAACCTACCAATGATTTTAATTATTTTTTTAAGTGATAAAAGTCGAACACTTATATTAAACCATCTGAACCAAAATAGGTAAATTTTATTATAAAAAAAACAACATTGTTTTTACATGGACTTTTATTATTTATTAGATAGGTTACTATACATTAAAGCATTTTCAAACATCTTCTTTGCATTCTTTGGAGATTCTTTATTTTTATAAGTAAGGGCGGATTTACCCAATTTCTTAATTGCTATTCCTTAATTCTTATTTCTTAGTCTCTAATTTGTAATTCTTAATACACAATTCTTTATCCCTTATTTTTTTAGAGACAGTTATCCAATGTCTTAATACATATTTCTTAATTCTTAAAACTGACACTAGTAGATCAAATCAAATCGTTTTTATTTCGCTGTGTTATTGTGTGCAATGAAGTCCATACAAAAAATTGCAGCACTTTCGGGTTTGTTTATAACCATGGCTTGTTGTGTCGCTACTCTCGTGAATCGCCACCGAGGTTGTAGGCGATTTGGGGTTCGCCCCATGAATAGAAGAAAGGACATGGAAGGCAATTTTGGAACTCTAATACAAGACATGCCCAGCGTTGTTACAAGGGCAAAAATTTTTGTACTATAAATGGTGTCGAAATAGTACTTTTTTAAGTGGGATTGTACATTTTTGGTTCAAAAATGTGGGGTCATGTGATCTCTCTATTTACCTTTTTACCAAGTTTTGGTACGTAGGATGCATCCACACTATCCTAAAAACAGCGGAATGGCGTATTGGCTTAACGACCTTGAATCGATTCCCTGCAATTCTATTGGCTGAAATTTTTGCCAGGTGAGTTTGACAGATAAAATTTCTGACAGATGAATTTTTCAGCCAATAGAATTGCTGGAAATCGATTCAAGGTCGTTACGCCGATACGCCGATACGCCGCCGCCGATCCGCTTTTTGTAGGATAATGTGGATGCACCCTCACAGAATTATACACCATATTGTTACGTTTTTCGTCGGTTTCGTGTGGATAGAAAGTCACAATTTATTTAAACACTATTTATTTAACACTAATTAACAAAAACAATAACGATAAAAGACTTATAGAACTATTTACAAACGATTTATAACTAAGAATTTATTTTGAATTTTAGCGCGCCAACTGCACTGGTATATTTATAACTGCCCCCTGTAGGCCACAGCCGCCGGCTTTTATACCGACAGGTAAAGAACACTAGAATAGTCCATAGATCGTTAGGTGCGTAGAGAAGGTTTTCGAATGTTCTCGTATGTACTAGTCCATTCCAGTGGGACTCGATTCTCTCGAACGAATGAATCATTACCGTGTCTATTCTTTAATGCGATGTTAAGGTCATCTGAGGGCGGGACATATAGTTAGGTTAGGTCGAGTTCACACGGGTCCGCAACACTGCCCCTTCTTAGGCACATGCTCGTCCCGAGATGTACACGGTGAATGAAGGTATTTGCAAAGCTGGCCCCTGGTACATTGCGAAGTCTGGTAGAAATAGCAGTCTACAGTTTTCTCTCCCGATCTCAGCTTTGGGTTGTAGCAGCAAACGAGGATCTCGATTCCCGTAAATCTGAACAAGACTTCAATCATGTTCCGGATTGTACGCCAACTCAAACCATCGAGTCCACACGCCAGCTTCGGAATGGCTAATCGTGCAATGTTGTTGTTTAGCAGGGCTTCTCTCAGTTCAATCAGGGTCTTCCATAGATTGAGATAAGTCGGCTTACTCGGGGACCATTCCTTGGTGACCAGGTAGAAGATGTGCCTTGCTTGACCATGTGCATTGTCGGTTAGCCTCAAGACGCTTCCAACCTCTGGATCCTGTCGGCGTAGTTCTCCGACACGCCCAAACTTCTCATTGAACGTCGCAGCGATTCCTCTGGACATCCGCAAATCTCGAGCCACACAATGAGCGAGCGAATAATCAGGAGGCACGGAAAAGAGGTCTCGTTGATCTTCTTTGGTTACACCATAGCGAGCCTTCTCACTGCTGTTGTATCGGGCCATGAAATCGTCAAAGGACATCTCCGAATCAGGGGGATCAAAGCTGCAGGTTCTCACGGTCCCAGCACGATCTTCTATTTCGCCTTGGTAGGGGCTCAAACGGTTGAAATGGACTACCCTCGGTTTTCCTTTTGGCAATTTTCTGATACGGTATACGACGTCATTAATTCTATCCATGACTTCGTATGGCCCTTCCCACGAGGATTGTAGCTTCGGAGATAACCCACGACGTCTCTGCGGGTTATATAGCCACACCAACTTCCCTGGTTGGTATCCTCCATGCTCAGCTTGAATGTCGTAGTGTTCCTTCATTCGGTCACTAGCACTTTGAATATTTAGGCGGACTCTCTGATGAATGTCGTCCATCCTTTGACGTAGTGTGTGGACATAATCTTCTCCGGCGACTTCTTCTCCCGGTCGGCAACCAAATTTCAGATCACAGGGTAGGCGCACTTCCCGTCCCATAACGATGCTGGCTGGAGTTTGCCCTGTAGATTCTTGGACGGATGAACGGTAGGCCAACAGGAACAGGTGAAGAAATTTGTCCCAGTCTCTTTGGTGGTCAGAGACTACTTTGGCCAGATAACGGTTGATAGTTCTGTTCATGCGTTCAACCATCCCATCGGATTGTGGATGTAGAGCAGTCGTCCTGGTCTTGCGGATGTTCAGGACTTCACAGACGCCTTGGAACAGATTGGACTCAAAGTTTCTTCCCTGATCTGAATGAAGCTCCATGGGAACACCAAACCTGCAGATCCATTCTTTAACAAGGGCATCAGATCAATAGATCTCTAAGGTCGCAGTGATTAGCCCCCCTCCTACTCACCGCACGGATATCAAACTTACGTCACAACTTACGTTTGACATCCGTGCGGCTTGAACAGCATTTCAAGTGATGTATAATTCTGTGCCTCTGCTCCTAGCAACCTGCATTTCAAATCCACGCATCGCGTATCACCGTTCGTCTAAAAATATGTACGTGGGTTTAAGTTTGGGTTTGAGAAGTAAAGGTGGGTTCATACAGCCAAATAAACTAAAATAAGCATAAAATAAAATAAGAAATAAGGAATTCTTATTTGTGCGCGTTCATACAGTCAAATAAAATAAAATAAGAAATATATATTTGCTCATGCGCAGTACGATGAAGCTGGATAAAAGTTAACTTTTACGATTGTTTATAGTAATTTTACTATTTATAGTATATTTATTTATTCGTTGCCTACTATATTATAAATTTTACTTATGTGAAATTATAAAATAAATTAAATCCAAACTGAAAATATTTGTAGGTTAGAATTAAGCGTGCGCAAAGCCGTTTTCACATAAAATAAAACAAGAAAATAAAAGACTTCTTATTTTATTTGGCTGTATTAACGCATGTACGGTATCACATATAACCAACTTTCTTATTTTATTATATTTTATTCTTATTTTATTTTATTTGGCTGTATGAACCCACCATAAGAATTGTACATTTTTTCTTGCAATTGTACCTATGTACTCCTTGACTATCAAATGTACCCAAAATAGTACAATTGTACCTATTGTAACAACACTGGACATGCCTTCCTTGGAATGGGACGAACAACAGTTCACAAAATACACAAAAAATTAACATTTCAAAATTTCACGCATGCGCATCTACACGTTTTCCTTAGTCGCTAATTCGTAATCGCTAAAAAGTTAAAAGTTCGGAACTTTCAAAATAAAGAATTACGAACCGTGGTTAAGAATTAAGGATTAAGACATTGTATAACCAAACTAACTGCATAACACGTATTTTATCTTTTTATAATTTAGCGAATAAGAAATAAGAATTAAGGAATAGCAATTAAGGAATTGGGTAAATCCGACCTAAAATATAATATTTAACTAACGTTTTCACTTTGAATAAAATGTAGTGAAAATTAAGATCAACTATTTGGCAACATTGTTGGGTACCTGCGGAGACTAGTGGGACGTAGACGCTAGTGTTTTTACTGTCTTTTTTTATCATAGGGCAGTGCCTTCTATTAAAAGATCAGCCTACGGGCGAGATTTATGACGTCACGCTAGTTAGATATAACGGACTAATAAATATGTTGTAGAATACATAGAAAACATAATTATTCCTCAGATTTTTGGTTTGTATTTTAAAAATGATATAGTTTAAATGAAATATACATAATATACAGTTAATAACTACAACATATATACCTATTTATAGTAATAAATACTTTGGCAAATAAACTATGAACCATACAAATGCAGCAAATGTTTTACAATGTACAAATAATGTATAGGTACATAAGATAATGGGTAAAATGTAAATATATTTTAAATTTTGGGGTTTGAAAATCGATCTAATTTAACAAAAAACATTTAATATCTACTAATAGTGATGTATTATTATTTGCATTCACAAAATTTATATGTATATTTTGCAAGTATCAATGTTCGAAAAATTATATTTACAAATAATACAATATTATCTAAAAAGGCGTCAGCGATGGCTATGAAATGAAGATCGCTGGCATTTTATATGTTAAATTATTCTAAAATTTTGATTTTCTTGGGATTTTAGGTTCGGGAAAACGTTGATTAAGTTTTCATTTGAGGTTTTTCATTATTTTTATTTGGTTTAAAAAACGTTTCGGCTAACTATAGTTTTCACAGTGTTGTGTCATATGAGAAAATAGTGTCGAATATAATCCAAAAATTACATATACAATATAATTCACACCTCATAATGTTTACTGCAATTAATAAACTAATATAAACTTATCAAAAGATGACCACATATTTTTTAAAATTATTATTCTTAACACTAAAATTATCTACATTGACTATGGAGTACGCAGTAAACATTATGTGCGTGGTGTGAATATTTTATATGCAATTTTTGGATTATATTCGACACTATTTTTTCATATGACACAACACTGATGGAGGCTATAATGTTAGCCGAACCGTTTTTTTTAAACCAAATAAAAATAATGAAAACCAAATGAAAAAATCAATCAGCGTTTTTCCCGAACCTAAATTCCAAGAAAATCAAAAATTTAGAATATTTAGAATCAAGGTTCAAGAATATCAAATTTTCCAAGATTGTAAAATTCTAGTTAATTATTTTATGCGTACAGTTATTTAGGGAATGTCATCGATGTTCATTTCCAAGCCAACTAGACGCCGATTTTTTCGATGATACGGTATAATTCTTACGTAAAATGTAAATAACATTAGACCAATTAAAAACAAAGAAATATGAATTTCTTAGTATTTTTAGTAATACCTTTATTCTTAAAACTTAATTTTGTATTATGCAAATATACCAATTTTATTGTTATTTTATTCATATTGTATTCAGCCATCACTTAAATATTTGATATTAATTTGGTATTATAAATAATCAATACTATTCATTAAAAATTACTGAACAAATATATGTTATGCTTAACATACATTATATATTATCAAACAAAAACACATTCTTCTTTTAAACTGTATCAGTCTTGTCTTTACAAAAAATCTTTTTAAAATTTGAACTCAAAATAATAATCTTTTCATGATCTCTAATACACATTTCTTTATTTTTCCCTAGTTCATAATACCTACTTACGTGTTTGAATCTATCGAAGCTGAACCAGCAACACTTGGAGTGGAGATTCCACAATATGAATAAAATAAACATAATTGTCCAGTTTTCATTAATACCATCATGGGAGAATATTATTTTTAAATTTATTAAAGATATTTTCAATAAAATTCTCTTGATTTATAACTCGTACCCACTTTTCTTGCTCTTCCGGACACTTTAGGCTGCCTAGTATAATAACTATCCTTTCCACCAGGAACACAACAAAGATGAGGCATAGCACCAATAACACACTCCACTTAAGCTTTATTGATGAATTGTTAGAGTCTTAAAAAACATCCACAAAAATCACGATAAGTAAAAAATGTATGGGCACTTTTAGGTTAAATCACTTGCACAACGTGTAATTTTTAAAATTTCTATTTTTTTATGCGAAACCGAGAGTGACCATATATCTGGTAGTAGTTTATGTCACTTCAACACCAAAATAATTAGTTTTTTGCACTACAATAGTAAATAATACCAAAAATCAAAGAGTTAAAACCAAAAATCAACCGACAAAATATGAAACGGAATCTAACCCAATATCTAAGTATGTACAGCTGATGAAGTAAACAAAAGTCCGCCCGTAGGCTGATCTTTTAATAGAAGGCACTGCATAGGGTACCCCTGTAAAATACTAATTATGGAGTGTAGTACTGTGGTGTAGTAGTACCTCTACATTCCATAATACTAATGTAACATGTAACGGCCATACCACGTCGGAGCACCAGTTCCCGTTTGATCACTGAAGTTAAGCGACGTCGGGCGCGGTTGGTACTTGGATGGGTGACCGCTTGGGAACCCCGCGTGCCGTTATTTTTTGTTTTTTAACAAAAACATTTCCTATTTTTCAACGTTATTTGGAGAAAGATCTTTTTTATATTAGGATAATCTTTATGCTTTTTTAGTTACCTGCAATTATTTTTTATGTTTTTTAGCAAAAAAACATCTTTTACTTTTCAATGTTATTTGGAGAAATATCTTTTTTATATTAGGATAATCTTTAAGCACTTTTAGTTACATCCAAATGTCTATTAAATATTTAATTTATTGTGTGAAATTTTGAAATATACATATATCTTTTTGTTAAACAAATGGCGGATGCGCTAGACTACATTGAATATGGTTAGTAATCAATAACGCATCTTATTTTTGGATGACAGGAAATTACGTAATAAAAAAAGCTGTAAGAAGTTATAGAAAGAGTAGAGAACTAGATGATACGTTTAAATTTCCAAGAAATTTTGCAAATGGGGATTTCCAAAAAAATAAACTTTTGTGGGGAAATATTTTATATCTAAATAGATTTTAAACTTTATCAAATAAATCGACAAAAAATGAAGCGATTGAACGATGAAAGACAATATCAAATGATTTAGCATCGAAAAAAAAACGGCGTCAAAGACGGCTGGGAAATGACAATCGATGACAACTTTGGCGAGGTCAAATCCTGAATGTCATCTACGAGTACTTGGCCCGTACTATTTTTTAATGGCCCTTACTGCTCGTTGTAATTTATTTTTATATTGAGTAAATAGGTATTGCGTGGTAAATATTATGTTTAAATGGTTTAATATAAAACTCGACAATTTTTTTTTTTGGAAATAGATTTGTATGTCTGGAAACGTTCTACCCGGGAGGTGTCTCACTTGGGTAAAAAATGTACTGCCAAACATGTACTGCAGACTGCAATACTGCCAAAATATCATTTTACTGCCAAGAGTGCCAAGCGACAAGCGACTGTCAATGACTGCGAAGAAGATTGCCTACGTCTGCCATATAGTTATAGTCGACTGATGCCACCGACTGATGTACAGGGTGACTCAACGATAAAGTCCATTATCTCATTTGTTAGATGTTTACAAAAAAATGTTAAATACGGAAGTTATGATACATATTTTATATAATTATTACAGAGTATACAGAGTGCTTCAAAAAAGTGTGGCAGATATAACATATGTTTTTTTTAAATACAACACTACATAATAACAATAATAAAATTCCCCGACTAAATGTAAAATAAAAATACTAACTGTAAATACTAAAAATTCTACCATTTAAAAAAATTGAGATTTTTTAATTTTAAGTAGTTGAAATTCATAAATATATTTTGAACACCCTGTAGCATTTAACTAAAATATCTTTACAGATATATTTTTCTTCATCTCTATAAAACCTTCCTACTAAATTTTGGTAGTCCAGCTTCAGAAACAATGGCATTACTGACAATTTTTACCACACTGAAATCTAACATTTGTTTAAACAAATTCATATATTACAAAAACTATTAATTTTAGATATATAACATAATGTATAAAAAAGTTAATAATAAAATAAAAAATAGGGTATTACATTTAAAAAAAAATATGTTATATCCGCCATACTTTTTTGAAGCACCCTGTATGCTCAATAATAATTTTAAAATGTGTATCTTAATCTTCCCTATAACTTTAATATTTAACATTTTTTTGTAAACCTCGAAACAAATGAGATAATGGGCTTTATCATTGACTCACCCTGTACATGTTAGTACAACATTGACCTCGCCAAAATTATCATCGATTGTCATTCCCCAACCGTCTTTCACGCCTCTTTTTCAATCATAGGAAGTTTTAAACAAACGGCTTTAGGTGTACTTTGAACAAACAGGGAAACATCCGGAGTTTTTCGCATTTTGTATTGAAACGCCCTGTATAATCAAATTTTGTATTTAATTTTTAAGTTGCATAATATTTGTTCGATGCTGATAATAATTTTTATTTTATTTTAGAAAACGTCTTGGACAAAATAATCAACACCGCTTGGCAGCCAGGATTCTATCTACTGAGACCTCTGATCAACGATTTAGTGGGAACGGCGTTTACAGAAATCTTCCAGAAATATTTTCAAAATTTTCCATTTGAACAGGTGTTCAAGCCATAATGTAGCTCTGTAAAGGTTTAAACTGATATTGTTTATCCAAAGTTTATTGAATATAATACTGAGTAGACTTGGTTTAAGTTGGTTGAACTTTCCATAATGAAGAAATGAAAATCTTTCGTTTTGGTAAAAAAATCTAACTTTTTAATAAGAAATATGACTGACTGTAAATATATCGTTTTTGGTAATTTGTTTTATTGATATTAATACCCCATTTTTTGAAAAACTTAGAAAGGAGTCTTATAGGATTCGACGTCAAATTTTGGTTAACTATTCCACGCTCAGTGGCGTACCTTGACAACTGGGGGCCTCGGTGCAAGATATTTTTTGGAGCCCCTGAATAAAGAAAAAACCAAAGTGTTCTGCGGGGCCCTAAGTTCCTGTGAGGCCCCGGTGTTTTGCACCGAACTGCCCTATGATAGCTACGCCACTGTCCACGCTACTTACTGTCTGTATAACTATTGCACAAATGTATCAAAAATATCAATAACTCTGATTGATGGGGTGTTTTTTTAGGCACAAGTTTATTTTGTCTGTTTATTCAGAAGATATGATGGAAAACAAAATTATCTGGTTAAATTAAATTAAATAAATATTACTCTTTTAAACTAGGTTGATTTGTGATAAAAAAAAAACATAAATAATAATGTTTTTACCTTATTTATAAAAATAAGTATACATCAGTATGTCCCCGGATTGCCTTTACAAGAGGAAAATCTTTTTTATTATTAATATACTGAGAAAAATGCATTCTTCATAAAAATGTTTGCTTGTTATACTCGTAAAATGGTTTAATGCCGTTTATATTTTTCCAAATTTCCATACCGTTATAGAGAAAATTAAAAAAACATGAAAATATGCTTAAATTTTTGGAAAAAGAAAAAGAAGTCCTAAAAATCAATAGGCGTTTCTATGGCAATATATACTAAATGGTTGTTATTTATTTAAACGCATTCCTGAAATTTAAAAAAGTCTTCACCTGTAGCGATTTCGACCTTGAGCTTCGATTGAGATTTGTGGAATGCTACGTCTGGTCGGTACTCCTCTACGGCGTGGAGAGTTGTAGGTACACTAGAAGCAAGTGCCATAAACAGACTGGAAGCTTTCGAAATGTGGATATACCGCATAATCCTCAAGATACCATGGACGACCAAGATAAGAAACGAGGATGTGCTCAGACGTATTAATAGAGAACGTGAACTCTTCAACACTATAAAAGAAAGAAAGACTGCATACTTGGGTCACGTCATGCGTAACCATAACTACCAATTTCCCCAGTCGAGGGCAGAAGAGGTTTGGGATGGAAAAAAATGTCATGGCTGCGGAACATAAGACAGTGGACAGGCATTAGTAACATACAGACGTTGATCCACACAGCCAGAGATAGGGAAGCCATGGAAAGTGTGGTCGCAAACATCCATTAATGGATAAGCAGAGAAAGAAGAAGAAGATTAAACTTTTATAAATATTTTCTAGGAGTATGATACTTTACACAAAGGTTGTTTAAGTGATATGGAGAACTAAGAAGCGATATTTTTTTAAATTTAATCCTTAAAAGGCTGAAATTAGCGGTGAATGTTTGAATGAACATTATTTGTATTTGGTCTAGAAGTATAAAATTTTACATAAAGATTCTTTAAGAGACATAATTAAGTATTAACAAGCGATTTTTGACAATTCATCAGTGTGAAATTAGGGGTGAAAATTTGCTTGCTTTGTTATTTTTGGTGACTCATAAAAAGTCAAAAAAAAATCTAATTTTCGAGAATTTTTACCCCTGATACATTAGATATTTTGTAATCTAGCACCATTTTACAGGTACACATCTACTAATTTGTAATTAGCATGATTATAGTGATGAAAAAGTTAGCGACCAGATAATAAATCAACGGTTTTGACCTCCTGGCTTGTTAAACTTACGCTTATCTCTTCTATGCTGAACCAGATATATGACACCAGATCGTGCTCTCTACAGAAAAACAAACATGAATCGCACAGTATCAAAATATAAACAGTTCTTTCCGGTATGGTATTAAAATAATCCAGTCATTGTTACCAAAAATAATCATATTGATTTACATACATTTGTATTTACCACGGTATTTACATATCTTCAACCAATACGCGGCCACCCATCAATGAACAGTCTGCATTTAGTTATGCAGATTTTTTATTGGATCCTAGATTTATCAACGATTTTGGTTGGGAAATCTGACACTTCACTCTAATCTAGGCATTCGAATTGTTGGGAAATCCGTCAAACATTTTAAGTTATCATAATATATCACCGGGTGTTTATCAAAACTGGTTCACCCCTATATTTTTTTATTTATTTTTTATTTTTTTAGATAAAAAAATGAAATTTTGTATGTTAGTAGGTATATGCCATAAATCAGGGTTGATATATGTATTCAATTAGTTTCGGTCCTGTTTCGCTAGAAATGACTACAACTTTTTCCTTAATGGTACGTACCGTCGGTATTTTTTACTTCATTTGATAGAAGATGGTATTTTCAATAGTCATTCATAATGTCAACTTTTGACATTATTAGTTAAACAAAATAGTATTTTAATATTCAATCTAGAGTACCATGCCAATAAACATAGCGACCATTTGACTCGAAAAACCAAGTATGTGGTACCAAATTATTCGTAAAAAGATGTCTTTTCCTAATATAATTGAGCGACCCTCGTTTCATTTAAAAAATATGAGTTATGATTAAAAAATACGATTTGGATATCTTTTACCTGGCCAGGAAGACACGAAAAATATTAGAGAATCAATAATTACATTTTTCCGAAGCTCCCTGATTAAAAATGAATGGTTTTAACGCAGCCACATTTTATTCTACAGTATGTACCCGGATTGTCTTTACAAGAGGAAAATCTTTTTTATTAACATTTTGAGAAAAATGCATTCTTCATAAAAAATTTTGCTTGTTCTAAAATGGTTAATCCCGTTTATACTTTTTCAAATCCATACCGTTTTATGAAGTTTGATGAAGTCCAAAAACTAAAAGGCGTTTCTATGGTAATATAATTTCGACTTCATTATTAAATAGATCGTTTAATTTTGATTAACGTCATTTTTTTTGATGTTGATAACGTATCACATTTTCCAATAACTATTATCACCTTTTCCGTAGCATTGAACTAAATAAATTTTGTGCTTCTTTAACATTTTAAAACAACAAAAAATATGATGTTGATTAAAATTCTGTCAATAATAATCTATTAAAGAATGAAAAAGAAATTATATTACCATTGAAACGCGTTTTGATTTTTAGTATTTCTAGGAAACTTTCATATTTTCATGTTTCCATTCTTTCGTAGATTGTTGTTGACAAAATTTTAATTAACGTCATATTTTTTGCTGTTTTAAAATGTTAAAGAAGCATAAAATTAAATTAATAATAACCTATCAAAGGATGAAATCGAAATCAAATTACCATAGAAACGCCTTTTTATTTTTAGGACTTTTTACTTTTAGAAAAAATTCAGACATATTTTCATTTTTTTTTAATTTTCTCTGAAACGGTATGGAAATTGGAAAAAGTATAAACGGGATTAACCATTTTAGAACAAGCAAAAATTTCTATGAAGACTGCATTTTTCTCAAAACGTCAATAATAAAAAAGGTTTTCCTCTTGTAAAGACAATCCGGGGATATACTGTAGATTGAAATTTAAAATATTATTAGCGAAAATGTCAAAAGTTGACATTATGATATGCCATTCTATTTAGAATGTCCTTTTTTTACCGAATAAAGTAAAAAATGCCAATATGTCCATTTATGAATCAAAAGTTGTAGTCATTTCTGGTGAAACAGGTGACAATTACAAAAACATAAAATTTTAGTGTAAAAATACATTACAGATGGGGGTTGGAGTGTTACAACAGCAAAAAAACACTATTTCACCACAATACACCAAAACACTTTTACTTTTGCACTGGACGCGCGTTTCGCTAACTAGTTTTAATCATCTGCTGATGATGCTAACTTTTTTTTTTGCTAAAAATACATTTTTTATTAAAATCATCAATTACATAAGATTTGGAAACAAAAATTTAAAGAGGCTATTCAGAAAAATGTTAATATTGGATTAATTTTTTTAAATTCTCTCCCTTTTAGCACATTTATTTTAGATTTTACTTCTTTAGCTTTATATTTTTAAATATAATTATTGTGCTTACTAGAGTCTTATGGGCAAATGTGATAAAATTAGGCTCGAAATAAAAATAGGTACTTGAAATATTATTCTGGTTTTCAAAATTAGCGCTATTATGTTTTAACACGCAAAGCTAATTTAATTTAGCCTTATAACAATAAGCATACTCAATAGACACAGTAAAACAATTAGCTATTATAGTGGTACTGATAGGTAGTGCTGCAATAGGTTATTCCTTTCCTTGTCTAAGTATATAACTTTATTTCTACACTAGGTAATGTATTCTATTACTACAGAAAATGGCGAATTGTGAGAAAATCTCTGATAGTACATTACTAAGCCATGAATATACACTCAGATGCGAAAAAAAAAACGCAACGGGAAATTTTTTCGTCAAGTTTAAAGTGTTATATTTTTTTACTTCTAACCCTATTTTTATGATTTATTTAGCAAACTGTATATAAATCTATCAACTTTAATTCATATATTCAACACCCTGTGTACTAATTTCGCTAGTAACTTTTCCTAAAACATTATTTTTCGATCAGAACCTTCTCTCAAGTAGTTTTCATTAGACAGACGTTGTTTTTATGTGTTTGAATAAACTTTAGCATTTTTAATTGATATCTACCATGACATCTGAAGGTTTGACGTATATTTTACCGGATCAATTTCGATACAGTGTAAAAGAAGTTTTAGTTTAAGGTGGCATTATTTATGCTGAACTAAAAACAGCAGAAGATTGGGACGCATGGATTTCAGAATTTTCGCGACTAAATTCAGTTGCCTGGATTGTACGGCCGAACTTTTACTTTGTTCTTTCCGTATTGGACTGGCTGTATGGAGGTGGCTTTGGGACAAAAATCACGCAGTTTCCAAAGAAGATCGACCATTATTATACAGGGTGGCGCACCTCATTCACCTCGGTTGATTAAACGGAAAGATGTACATTTTTTATTGGTATATGTAGAGAAACAATGTGCATAAT